TTTAAATAAGAAAAACAAGTATTACGATATACCATATTTTATTCCCAAAATGGCCCATCTGTCTCTTACCACTTGATAAGGTCGTCTGTCAAACAATGTGGGTTTTCTCGGGTACCCCGGTTTCATCTCACTGTTAAACACCCCTTCGCGCAAGTGAGTTAATGAAATAATATTGAACTATATGTTAGTCCCGAAATTACCTAGTTAGTGTCGATTGTTTGTATTTATTTTAAAATTAATGCTTTAACAAAACAATTGCATAATATTCATTTTTTATGTCAACTATTAAGATGTTGCGTATTTACTTACTGCACGATGTTTATTTTAAAATTAACAAAATTGCACATGTTTCTTTCCAGTGTGTAATTCTCGACGCGACACTTCTCAGTTCATCAAAACTATCATTTGCGGCCTGTTACAGCTCTGTCGGGTTCTTTGATTATATAAATAAATCAAAAGTTGAATATCCAATCAACAATCTTAACCCTATTGATTAATTGTTAAGTCAGGTGGAATGTATATACGAGTAGAACATTACACATTTGTAATAAAGATGTGCATTGTAATAAGCATGTGCAGGAGATAAGATAAAGAGATGGCAGTTCTCGCTATAATAGTTAAAAACTAGATAGTGTAAAGGTAATTTGCTGAAAATTTCAGTCAAATTGATCCACTATGAGCCGAGAAAAAAGCGGATGTAATTTTTGCATAGTCTCGGTCATTACTAAAATCATTAATATAAACAGCATTGTCTCGATTATCCACTTTTTTTTATTTAATTATCAATGGCCGTTAGCGGCATATAGAAATCTAATCCAGCCAACATCGAAGGCTAGTCTTGACACCGAAAGTTTATTATGGTCTGGATAAGTTAATTAATGTCTAATTGATAATTTAGATAACATTTCAGGCCTAAAGAAAGACTTGTAATAAGCAGATTTTGCTCTTGCATAATGCATGTTTAAATGAACATTTGTAAATCAACCTCTAAAATACTTGGCTGTTTATTTTATAAACTGATTTTATTTTAATGCATTTTTTAAATCTTTGTTAACTTTTAAAACTTTTTTTTGTCTTGGAAACAAACTGCAAAGACCAACAAGATGATTAATCTGAGTAGCAATCTAAAATCTATTTGTCGGTTGTAAAGGAAGATAACTGCGTAAATATTTTAATTTTCTGTAAATTATCGAATATTCGTTGCAGTTATTATACTGAAGTGGTACTAATTGACGATATTAGGTTTGTATTTTATAATATTGGGTAGTATTAAGTAGTATTTGATAAGTATTTCGTATTATTGGGTTATTATTTGCTTGATTTGGGTGATATAGGGAGGCAAAAGGAACATCCAGACATCGGTAATCACATTTGAAGTACATTTCCCACGATATATCTCATTTTTGAAAACAAAAATCAAGTAATATGCTCATTTGGCACCATTATGTTGCAGTATTGGCTAGTATGTGGTGATATTGGAGTGGTATTCGAGCGGTATTGGGTGGTATTGGGTAGTATTGGGTAAATCGTCCCGCCGTATTTTTAGGACACGAAGCTCAAACTTTAAAACCATGTAGACTATTTGAAAAATAAATGTCACCACTCCAAACATGTTTATAAGAATTAATAAAATTGTCCCAATGGGTTTCTTGAACGCACACAAAATCTAAACTTTTGCTCTGAAAATTAGCTATTAAATTACTGAATTTATTCACGTTCGTAAGTCTATTGACATTAATTGTAGCTACTTTAACCATTAAAATATAAAGCGAGAAAATGGTTAACATTATTTTATCTTAAATATTTTATTTTAATTTTTTTTTTTTTAAGGGCACATTCAATCGAAACTTTCATACGATCACCCGCAAGTGGATTTATGACCACTTTCTTATTTTACCAATTTTACTTTTTAAAGATTATAAGCAACCGATTTCCTATTGCGCCGAGGATATGATGACTTGCGTTCTGTTGAATGTCTTTTAGACACCCAACTATAATTAGAACTATTTCAAATTCACTATCATCATTAACCGTTTTATCAAATCAACTTCACTTATTGGCCCATCATCTAATTGCAAAAAACATTAGCAACTTGATCAACATTTGAATTTAATTTATCACATATATTAATATTACCTACAGATCCATATGCATCAGTAGGGGTAACTACTTCAGTGACATCAGCAACATTGGGATTGTGTACAATTACTTTTATTGCTTCACCATACGCTTCTGTGTTATTTGCAATACCGTTATCATTACTGTTAGGTATTTCCACACGTGCATCAGCTGTTGGGGTAAATATAGTATCGTCACTCGCATCCACGACACATTTCCAATCGAATTCATCGCACCTCGGACAAAACACCGACGCATTCCAGCACCCGGATTCGAGATCAAGTTAGCACACATTCTCTCACCGTATTCCAGCACCCGGATTCGAGATAAAGTTAGCCCACATATTCCTAGCGCCAAGAAAATAATTGTTACCTTTATATTAAAAAATAAAATTTTAAAACATATTAATGCAAAGTATATATGTAATAGATCCCCCGACCCCACCCCACCCCCCAAAATATACTATTACCGTAAACATACTAAAATATCGAACACTAGGCTAACTGAGCATGCAAAAAAGGGGCACGTCAATTTTGCATCATAAAGCACCCCAACCAGATTTGGTGGGAAAATGGTTTTTGTTTCACGGAATCAAGAGATGTATAACTACTAGAATACAAACTTTCAGAAGGCTCCTATGTTGGCGTTTGAAGATATATGACCGTACTAAACATATGGGGGAATCGGGTCGGGGTAGGTTCACTGCGCACGCAATAACTTCTAAACTAGCTTTGGTGGCTTCAATATCTTTATTTCACCAACTGGACAGGTGCATAAGACATTAACATGCCAAATTTCATCAACTTTCTATGTTGGCGTATCGAGTTATACCACTGCCAAGTTCCTAGCACCCGGATTCAAGGAGGCGTTCGTTGGTTCAATAAACACGGATTACGCCCACACTGCATCAAAAAACACCCAAACCAGTTTTGGTGGCAAAATGTTTTTTGTTTCAAGGAGTTAAGGGATGAATAAACTACTAGAATACAAAATTTCATAAGCTTCCTTTACTGGCTTTTCGAGATAATATCACCGTAAACATACTAAAACTATGGGGGAATCAGGTTAGGGTAGGCTCAATACGCACGCAATAACTTCTAAACTAGCTTTGGTGGCTTCGAACTCTATTTCACCAAATCGACAGATGGATAAGGTATAAACAAGCCAAATTTCATTAACTTTCTATGTTGGCGTATCGAGTTATACCAAAAGCCAGTATAGGAGCCTTCTGAAATTTTGTATTGTATTAGTTTATTCAATAATTCATCACTTGATTCCGTGAAACAAAAAACATTTTCCACCAAAGCTGGTTTGGGTAGTTTTTGATGCAGTGTGGGCGTACCCGTTGTTTATTGAACCCACAAACTCCGTCTCGAATCCGGCTGCTAGGAACTTTGACACCAACATAGAAAGTTAATGAAATTTGGCATGTTCGTGCCTTATGCACCCGTCTAGTTGGTGAAATGAAGATATTGAAGCTACCAAAGCTAGTTTAGAAGTTATTACGTGCGCAGTGAGCCTACCCTAACCCGATTCTCCAATATTTTAGGATGTTTACGGTAATATATCTCGAAACGCCAACATAGGAGCCTTCTGAAATTTTGTATTCTAGTAGTTTATTCATCTCTTGATTCCGTGAAACAAAAAACATTTTCCCACCAAATCTAGTTGGGGTGCTTTCTGATGCAAAATGGACGTACCCCTTTTTTGCATGATAAGTTAGCCTAGTGTGCGATATTTTAATATGTTTACGGTAATAGTAAATTATGGGGTGTGGGGTGGGGTCGGAGGATCTATTACATATATACTTTGCATTAATACGTTTTAAAATTTTATTTTCTAATATAAAGTAACAATTATTTTCGTGATATTTATATCTCGGGTTTTCTTGGAATATGTGGGCTAACTTGATCTCGAATCTGGGTGCTAGAATACGGTGAGAGAATAGGTGTGCTAACTTGATCTCGAATCCGGGTGCTGGAATACGAGTGCGAGATTTCGCTCGATCAACTAAAATAATGTTACGCGCACGATATTCTGAACATCTTTCACTGACACCTACTCTTTGTTGTCCTTTATCATCAACAACTGAACATCCGCCATATTGGTTAAACAATTTGCCTGAAGCTGCTCAAATGATATACCTGTTTCGCTTTATATAATTTCGATTATAGTCGATTTACATGGGCATTTTGGTAATACGTCTATCCCTCATAAAGTCAAACTGGATTTAAGCGTGCCTGATTACCAGATAATACAACTTATACACACGGAGCGTTAAAACATTTTTATACATTTATGAAAATAATTACAATGATCAATAACAATACACTTTATAGATCTTATAAATAATGGAAATTAGATATACATGACATAATATACCAAAATTTACAAAATATGATTCTTCATATTATTGTTAATAAATTGAATACTATCACTTGATAATTATTCGAAATAATTATATATGTATACGATTACTTATCGTTGCATTTGCAAATAATTCATTTATGAAATAATTCATAAATTCCTGGCCATTCACCGTTTATCCCGTTAAATAACATAACATACCAAAATTTACAAAATATGATTCTTCATATTATTGTTAATAAATTGAATACTATCACTTGATAATTATTAGAAATGATTATATATGTATACGATTACTTATCGTTGCATTCCACCGTTTATCCCGTAAAATAACAGAATTAAGTCCACTATAGAATGGAATAAAAAAATGTATCCCTAAATTTCACGGAAATTCCTGGTCCTTCCACCGTTTATTCCGTAAAATAACGTAATACAATCTTGCTTTTCGCAAAAATAAAATGTCTTCAGACGACTAGTCTGGCACTGGACGCCTTAAATTGAATGGTATGACCTACCGTACTACTTCATGTTCGCTTCCAATTCTGTTACCATTCTCATCATAGGTACATGTGATGATGTATTCTTTTTCATGTGTAACCAATATATCAGTATTACCCCATATAACAAACAGCTTTAATGTAAAGATGTTAGCATTCTTCTTTTTCTGTAAATTGTTTTCAAATGTCAACATATGGTAAGACACAAGGTAATTCAAATAATGGAATGTGAAATATAAGAACGGTTACAATTCTTATTTTATTGTCCGTGGATTTAAGGAAAGAACGGCGTTGAGAATATTTGGATGCAAGGGTAATCTGATTAAAATCATTTGAAATGCGATTCCCTTTTTAATTATAAAATAACAAGAACTGCGATGCAGTAATGACAGGTTTCACCGGTGTCACGGTACCCTAAACATGTCACTTCCGGTACCAATGAAACCATTAAACAGGTTTCCACATAAGCATTTCACAAATCAAATAAAATGGATGCCGAATCAACCAAATCCAGCAATATAAATTCATTTTATACATTTGTTACCTGTAAGTGTACAGTACTTCCGGTGATAATGAAAATGTTCAATTAGTTTTATGAAATCCGAAATGGCATAAGGCATCACATGGTGAAAATTTTATGTAAATCGAATAATAATTGCCACTGTCTATACATTTAAAGTCGACCGGATACTAAATTTAGCCTCTAGAGCGTCCACAAGATTTTTTAAAGTGACCAAGGGCCATATCTCTGACTGTAATTATCGGAAATCGCTGAAAATCAATAGGCTTCTTCGTCTCATGACCTTAAACACTGTATCAATTTAAAGTAATCTCATACAAACTTTAGCCGGCCGGAAAGGGGCGACGACAATATACGACCACATTTCAATGTGGGCGTATAAAAATTAACCGCATGCATATAATATTTAATGTATGATAAAGTCAAAATAGAGATTTCGGTTTTTAGTGTTGCGGTCATTTTAAAAAAATGTCTTTTAAGGATAATAACAATCACATACGGAAGAGGCGATAAGATCCCTTTGCATTTGCAATTTCAAAATTAATTAAAACCAAATTTAAATTCCGAATTTTTTTTTTTTTTTAACTGAAACTCTTTTTTTTAATCGGATCAAAATGGGAGTAAGGCACATAGTCCGGGGTGGTAATGGGCGTATTGTGTCCAAATTTCATGGTGTCGTGGCGAAATTCCACTTTTTTCGCCCTTACTGAAGCCGTATCTGGACTTGGAAAAAAAGAGAACGGCAGCCGACCTGGAGCTGTGCCAAGAACAAAAGACTTGAAGGAATGCAGGTATCGCCTTGAAAATTTCAGGGCACCTAGGTTTCAACGTGAAAAGTTCCTAGTCGGAATTTGGTAGACATGGTACCTTTGGTTCCAGCGTTGCGCATGCGCGAATTCAAAAGCAGCTAAATATGTTTGTTATGAAGGGATATTTTTACAATATGGACCTATCTCTTCGAAACTTCGGCTAACCCCCCATTTCCGACCTCGGCGCATCCAAAAATTGTCTCCAAATTAAAATCAAACACCTAGTTCCATCTCTATTTTCTTGTTTTACTTTATGTACCCCCGGGAAAATGGCCACCGCTCGTCCCCCATGGGTCGGGCCCTAAAATTTCTTGTTTGGAATTGTGCTTGGGACCATAAGCCAGATACCCGGTGAGTTTCAAGTTGGTGTGCACGATAGTAGGGTTGTGACGCGCATGCGCGGGCCTACACTCGAAAACAACCTTGTCGGCACGGAAAACATCAAAGGCGAAATTCGAATTTTTGAAATATTCAAATACCAAACATTCGACCCGTATCCCGGCTATCCTGAAATGTATTAATTTCAGAAATAGGAGACGTATTGAACATACTATGCCCTATTGTGTTTGTTTAGAAGACCGTAAATGTCGATTTTTCGCTATTTTTCATATTCACTTCAAAATGGCGGCCATCAGTTGACCTAAATCAAAATTCTGCTCTGAACCTTTTTTAGGCATTCCTTCAGGGATTCAGAAAATATAACTCCCATGTCTGTAAGTGCAATATCGCAAAAGTTATTAGGACTTTTCACGTTTCAAGATGGTCGCATTTCCGGTTCGATCGACAAACTCCATATTTTGTATATGAATCAGTAATTACTTGTCTAGTATCGAAATAAAAAATTAGGTCATTCTGACATATATTTCGATGATTTTTTTGAAAATTTTGATCCTTAATTTCATTAAGGGGAGATAATTTAGCAAATTTCTAATTATATTTTTGAATGCTAAATTTCATGAAAATCGTACAACTATTAAAGAAGTTGTCAAATTGGTCATAAATACCGGTTTGAAATCACAGCGACGAATTTTCGAAATTCGAAAATCTGAATTTGCACATTTGAAGTAATTGTCTCAAGGTACTCAAAGAAAAAAGATTTAGTAAAATAGGTCAAATAGTCGCAAAGTTACAGCATTGTAGGTCAAATGCATTCGTTCGTAAAATTCGGTGATTTCGGATTCGTAAAATGTTTTGAAAATATATTTAATCAACAGCCACCACACATTTTTTGGGGGATGGGTATACGTTTCAGAAAGATCCTATGGTTAGATTCTGAGAAATCCGATTTGTGGATAAAACACAAAAAAATAATAAGAAGAACTAGATCTGCTACTGTCCCATGCAGATATGAAAGCTTTCATATTCATCGTCACGTGACATGGATTATATCAAGTATCTTAAAAGAAAAAAGAACAACAAAAAATAATTATCAAAATCGGTGAAAAAGTCGCGAAGTTACAAGTCTAAATATAGTGAGAAACATTGCACCCGGGCAACAAACTAATCTGAAAACTAAAGGGAAATAACTGAGAGTTGGATTGCTGTAATCGGAATGACTTTCCGTTCCAGAAGTTTCAGAAAAATGGATCAAGCCGTTTAAAAACGGGACGGATGAGAACATGAAACGAAAATGACGGGAAAGAACTAAAAAGGGGCAGGAAAATATTTTTTGAATCAGATTGACCTTAGCTGTTCGAATATTTAGGTTAAATTTGTAAATTTTGAAAAATAAAGGCATAAATTGTCCTGCAAACAACTTTGTCGGCACGTAAGAGGTCAAAGGCGAAATACGAAATTTTGAAAATTTTCAAACACCAAAAAATCGATCTTGATCCCGAGTTATCCTGAAATGCATTAATTTCAGAAATAAGAGACGCATTGAACATATTCCGGCCTATTGTGTTTATTTTCACGTCTGTTCAAGTGGATTTTTCACTGTTCTTCATATATATTCAATTCCAAATGGAGACCATCGGTTGACCGAAAATCTTTTTTTTTTGCTAAAACTTTTTTTTTTTTAATCGGATCAAAATGGGAGTAACGCACAAAATCCGGGGTGGTAATGGGCGTATTGTGTCCAAATTTCATGGTTTTCGGACAATCGGTGCCGGTGTCGTGGCGAAATTCCACTTTTTTCGCAATTACTGAAGCCGTAAATGGCGCAAAAAAGCCGAACGACAGGAACCGTGTGAAGAACAAACGACCTGAATGAATGCAGTTATCGCCTTGAACTGTTCCTCGCCGTAATTTGGTAGTCATGATACCTTTGGTTCCAGCGTGGCGCATGTGCGAAGTCAAAAGAAATTAAGGTTGATTTGGGGATTTTGGGTCTATTTCGGAGTGGTTTGATAAGTGACGGTGGATCGGGGACCCAGATGGATCTAAGATGGCGGTCATAATACAATATTATAATAACGTTGAAGAATGAGCAAATTTTCGCGACCGGGGTTGATTTGCTCTGCCTAGGCAACGTTCCGTTTGTCCGATTACCTTCAAATTTGCACGGAATGTACCTTGGGATTCTATCTATCACATATTAAAAACAGAAGAGTGTGGAATTCCGAGAACGTTGAAAATAAATTCGAAGCCCACCCCCACCCATTAATGTTTTTTTAGCTTAAAAAATTGCCGTATGTTATCGATTTTTTATTTTTCTTGATATATGAGTTTTTTTCTCCTTTTAATATGTGATAAATATCATTACGGAGCAGCCAACCGCTAGAAATTCCAGAGATTTGGACCACCGGAAGGATGCCTCAGCAGTCCAAAAAGGTCAAAATAGGCGATTTCGGTTTCTAATGTCGACACATCGTTGCGGTCATTTTAAAAAATTGTCTTTTAAGGATAATGTGTATAGTACTAATACCTATCACATACGGAAGGGGCGATAAAATCTCTTTGCATTTGCAATTTCAAAATTAATTAAAATCAATATTAAATTCCGAAAATCGTTTTTTTGCTAAAACTCTTTTTTTTAATGGGATCAAAATTGGGGTAAAGCACAGAGTCCGGGGTGGTATTGGGCGTATTGTGTCCCAATTTCATGGTTCTCGGACAATCCGTTCCGGTGTCGCGGCGAAATTCTCCCTTTCCCGTGCCAAGAACAAACGACTTGAAGGAATGCAGGTATCGCCTTGAAATTTTCAGGGCACCTAGGTACCAACGTGAAAATTCCTCGCCGGAATTTGGTAGACATGGTACCTTTTGTTACAGCGTTGCGCATGCGCGAAGTCAAAAGCAGCTAAATATGTTTGTTATGAAGGGATTTTTTTTCACAAAATGGACCTATCTCTTCGAAACTTCGGCTAACCCCCCATTCCCGACCTCGGCGCATCCAAAAATTGTCTCCAGATTGAAATCGAACACCTAGTTCCATCTCTATTTTCTTGTTTTACTTTATGTACCTCCGGGAAAATGGCCACCGCTCGCCCCCCATGGGTCGGGCCCTAAAATTTCTTGTTTGGAATTGTGCTTGGGACCATAAGCCAGATACCCGGTGAGTTTCAAGTTGGTGTGCACGATAGTAGGGTTGTGACGCGCATGCGCGGGCCTACACTCGTAAACAACCTTGTCGGAACGGAAAACAAAGGCGAAATTCGAATTTTTGAAATATTCAAATACCAAACATTCGACCCGTATCCCGGCTATCCTGAAATGTATTAATTTCAGAAATAGGAGACGTATTGAACATACTATGCCCTATTGTGTTTGTTTAGAAGACCGTAAATGTCGATTTTTCGCTATTTTTCATATTCACTTCAAAATGGCGGCGATCAGTTGACCTAAATCAAAATTCTGCTCTGAACCTTTTTTAGGCATTCCTTCAGGGATTCAGAAA